CTAGAGACAAGTTATCTTAAGTAAAGTATCTCAAGAGTGGACAAACACCTCTTGTACTCTCTAATATTTTGAAATTAACCAATGGACACACATGTGCAGGGAGGGAAAGAAAAGTAATTGGAAGTCAAGGGTGGGAGGCAGGAGGGGAGGAGCAAAAACCTACCTAACAGGTACAGTGTATACTATTCAGGCAATGGGCACTCTAATAGCTCTGACTAAAGCATTATAAAAGCTATCTATGTAACAAAAACATTTGTATCCCCTTAATATTTTGAAATATAAAAAATAAAAAAGGGATATTAAAAAACAAAAGATAAAAAATGGTATACCTGTGTAGTGTACTTACCATGAATGGAGCTTGCAGGCCTGGAAGTTGCTGTGGGTGAGTGTGTGAGTTAGCAGTGAGTGAATGTGGAGGCCTGGGGCATTACTGTACACTGCTGTAGACTTTATAAACATTGGACACTTAGGCTTTAATAAATTTGTAAAAAATTTTTTTCTTTTTTCATTAATAAATTAACCTCAGCTTACCGTAACTTTTTAACTTTGTAAATATTTATTTTTTTTAACTTCTTGACTCTTTTGTGATAACATGTAGCTTAAAACACAAACACATTGTACAATGGCAAAAAATACTTTTTTCTTTATATCATTATTCTGTAAGCTGTTTTTTTTTATTTTTAAGGATTTTTAATTATTTTTTTCATTTAAACTTTTTTTGTTAAAAACTAAGACAGAAATACACATATTAGGCTAGACCTACACAGCGTCAGGATCAACAACATCACTGTCTTCCCCCTCCACATCTTATCCTACTGGAAGGTCTTCAGGGGGCAACAACATGCATGGAGCTGTCATCTCCTATGCTTACAGTGGCTTCTTCTGGAATAGCTCCTGCAGGGCTGCCTGAGGCTATTTTAAGGTTAACTTATTATTTTTTTTAATAAGTAGAAGGAGTATACTCTAAAATAATGATAAAAAGATAGTACAGAAAATATATAAACCATCAACATAGCCTTTAATTATTATCATTATCAAATATTGTATACCGTGCATAATTGCATGTACTAGACTTTTATATGACTGGCAGCACAATAGGTTTGTTTATACCAACATTGCCATAAATGTGTGAGTAATGCATTGTGATATGACATTACGACAGCTAGAACATCAATAGACAATAGGAAGTTTTCAACTCCATAAGAATGTTATGGGTCTGTATATGTGGTCTGCCGTTGATCAAAATGTCATGAGGTCCATGACTACAGTTTTCACAGCTACAGAGCCTCTAAGGACATATATCAGCTATACTAGATGGGGCACCTGTGGGGGAACAGGAAAGGGAATGAAGGGGAGAAAAGAGTAAAATAAATAAATATATAAAACTGTACGACATGCCTGGCAAAGATTAATGATGATAGTACGGGAAATATGACAAAAAAAATTTTATGAGAATTAAGGTTAAAAAAAGAAGTAAAAACCAAAAAGAAATCAGGTACTGATTACAGGACAACCCATGGAAACCTCATAGCTAAGCTTTGAGACTTAATTTTAGACAATCCATAATCTGTTAATTACAAAGAGTAGTTTCAACTAGTAGACCTAGATCAGGGTAACCCAAAGGGAATGTGTTCATTTCTTCAGTGGTCTGTGGGTAATGTGACGTTTTCCTTCTAGGAAAACCTGTGTGCACTTGCTGCCAGCACAGGGCCATCTAGCTGGCCTTGGCCACTGGGCATTGGTCGTGGGGGTTGCCTCACCCTCAAGGCAGCCTTCTTCTCCACGATGTTCCAAGTGAACCCGGAACAAAGGTGCCACTGCATTGAGACACTCGGGTCAGGCACTGAGCCAAGCCCCCGCGGAGCTCTGCGATGGGACAATGAGACGAGGGAGGAGAACTTGTCTTTTAGCCAAGACATCTTCCAAACTATAGGCAATACTATGTCCTCAGAGACAAGGCACATCGAGTACATTGTTGATAATCCTTGTGATGTTTAAAGACCACAAAACATTAAAACATTTTAAAATTATACATAATTAATGTTGAAACTTGGCAGGGCGGTACAGACAAATATCAAGTCATAAATATCCCCCAAGAGATTTCTGTGTGAGCATGTTTTGGTTCACTAAGGGTCTTCTCTTTTAGTTTCTGGACAGGCCCAGAACCAAGTACTTGTAAGAATCAGCACAGTTTAGCCTTTCCTATTGGTCACAGTTGTGTTCACGTGTGTACATACATGCACACGTGTGCACACACATCCACTTCACCTCTTCAAGTCTCAGAGTTCCCATACTTCTTAGATGGGAGTTTTGAGCACTGCCTTTAGTTGGCCTACAGGAAGTTTTCTGGAGTCATGGGTCTCATGTAATGGCCAGGCTGGGTTGCAAACCCGTTGGCTTCCCATACACCCAGGAGACCTATAGGAACTGATGTGTTTTTATTAAGGAACCTACTGCACCCTCGTTAGTATAGTGGCAAGTAAAATAAAATATGTGTCTGTGTGCATATGTATGTAAGTATGCAGCCATTGATAATATGACAAGAATGACTACATGGCTGGATACTTTCCAGACAACTCTTGTATATATTCTATATTAAATATTAAGGAATTTGTTATACTCTGAATAGAATTTTCCTAGAACAGTGTCAAGAGAAAGCAAGCAACATGCATTAGCATGATAAAGAGATCAGACCGATGTATTGTGATGCGCATGATAGAAAAATTGTTAAAAAAATATATATGAAAACGAAAAGAAAACAGTCACTGCTTGGGCGAGGGAGAGGGTTACAGCACACAGGGATGCATTCGCTCTATATCTCGCCTTGCTGTGAGATGTTGGCCTAGCAACCAAATGGTAAATAGGTCTACGTGCCATGAGTTAATGGGGGCTATAACTTCTTCATGATGGCGCATCGACACTGGGTGGTCTTTGTTTTTTTATCGGTCATTTTTTTTGTTGAGTTGAGGGCATGATAAAGAGATCAGACCGATGTATTGTGATGCGCATGATAGAAAAATTGTTAAAAAAATATATATGAAAACGAAAAGAAAACAGTCACTGCTTGGGCGAGGGAGAGGGTTACAGCACACAGGGATGCATTCGCTCTATATCTCGCCTTGCTGTGAGATGTTGGCCTAGCAACCAAATGGTAAATAGGTCTACGTGCCATGAGTTAATGGGGGCTATAACTTCTTCATGATGGCGCATCGACACTGGGTGGTCTTTGTTTTTTTATCGGTCATTTTTTTTGTTGAGTTGAGG